CTTACAAATTGGCACGCCAAGTGGGACAATCTTTACCTCTCATCTCTTCTTTTCAAGACAACCAAAGTTCAAAAACACCGAGATGACTTTCAAAAAGATCAACTCGAAATCCGCATCTGCATCCAAATCTGGATCTACATCCGTATCCTCATCTGGATCAAAATCTCCATCTGCGTTGAAATCTGCATCGGCATCAAAATCCGCATCAGCATCTGCAAAAACTGATGGATCCAAGTTCTGCATCGATGTCGAAAACATCCTCGATGTTACTGCGGGAAGCATGGGACCTATCACAAGGAACCAAGCCAAATTGCTGGGACAACAAGCCTCACGAGTGTCGTCCGAATCTGCTACTGTCTTTGGTTTGTCTCCAAAACATGTGAAGTCTCCTGCAAAAGCTGCAAAGGAAAACATTGCCGAAATGGTCGAGAAGGTTCTTACCCAATTGAGCCCATCTACATACGAGAAGTCCTTCGCTTCGGCTGACAATGATGTCTTAATCACGGGATCTACCCCACATAACATGTTTGCATCTCATGTTAAGGAAAATCAACACTACTCTCCGCCACCTACTATGGTAATGCATGCAATGGTGACTAACGCTTCATCCGTAGAAGAACAACTTGTGAGCTTGACAAGAGCTATTGAAGGCTTGACCAAGTATGTTCAAGATCAAGATGCTCGAATTGTTAAGCTAACTAACAGGGTGGAGGGCATGATGGATGAAGGATCAAGTTACGCACCTGGAATACGTCCGCAAGTTCAAGAGACAGTCGATCGCCCCACAAAGCATGTTGAATATGCTAAAGAGATCCAAGTTTCTTCGGAAGGAACGATCCCGATCAACCAAATCAGGGAGTTCATCATGGGTACCATTAAAGACAAGTACGAGGTTGCTACAAAATCCTCCTTGACATATGCAAGGCCATACACTGCAAGGATTGATAGTTTGAAAATGTCTGCCGGTTATCAACCTCCAAAGTTTCAGCAGTTCGATGGTAAGGGAAGCCCAAAGAAACATGTGGCACACTTCATTGAAACCTGCAACAATGCTGGAACATACGGCCATTACCTCGTCAAACAATTTGTTCGCTCCCTTAAGGGCAATGCTTTTGATTGGTACACGGACCTTGAGTCTGGTTCCATTGATAGTTGCGAACAAATGGAGCAAGAATTTCTCAACCGCTTCTATAGCACAAGACGTACTGTAAGCATGGTGGAACTTACAAACACACTTCAGCGAAATGAAGAACCAGTCTTTGACTTCATCAACCGATGGAGGCATGCAAGTCTAAACTGTAAATATAGACTTAGTGAAGCTTCAGGCATAGAGGTGTGCATTCAAGGTATGCATTGGGGTCTCCGCTATATTTTGCAAGGCATAAAGCCTAAAACTTTTGAAGAGTTGGCCACTCGCGCTCATGATATGGAGTTGAGCATGTCGTCAGTTGGAACTGAAGCACCACTTGTCCATGAACTCCGCAAAGTCAAAGAAAGGCAAGAATTCAAGAAAGTGGGAAACTATTTGCCAAGGACTGAAAACAAAGAATCCACGAACGTCAATGCCTCTCATGTGAAATTCACCACAAGGGTGGGCAATACGCAGAGTGCAAAAATGAATTCTTTTGAAGGAAGGACAAATCAAAAGCTCACCTTGAAGGAAATGCAGCGGAAGGACTACCCATTTCTTGACTCAGATGTTTCCGCAATCTTTGATGAACTTCTTGAGATGAAACTTTTCGAGCTACCAGAGATGAAACGACCAGATGAAGCAGGGAGGAGTGATGATCCAAAATACTGCAAATATCACCGGCTGGTTGGACACCCTATCGAGAAATGCTTCGTCTTCAAGGATAAAATCATGGACTTAGCTCGCGAAGGGAAGAATGAACTTAAAGATGAGAAATTGAGTTCAAACTAAGTCAGTGTCACTTCTGACTTACCCAATCCGGTCATGACCTACAATTTTGTTGAAGGAAATATGGAGCAAGACATTCCAAACACCAATCAGACAAGAATGATTAAGTTTGGAGACTTTGAGCCCATTGAAGTAAATAATTTGTTATCTTTCCCTATACTAAGTGATGTGGCCTCTGTAGGAGAGGGATCAACAAGACAAGATGAAGACCTAGTAGATGATTTTGATGATTGGGGCTGGACTCTTGTGACTCGCCGTAGACACAGAAAAGTGAGTTCGCATAAGGAGTCAACAAAGCAACACGTCAGGGAAAAGATGGTAAGGAGACCCAAAACCAAAACTTTGATCGTGCATTCAAAGAAGAAGGAAATAAAGGTGCACCACTACCAAGAGCTGCGGAGACCCGTTACATTAGGGGAATATTTGCCAAATTGGTGTTACACCAAGTTCACATGCGATGGCACAAAAGCTCTATGTTGTAATGTCGATGAAAAGGAAGCGAAAGATGAAACTCCATCATGTCCATCACCAAAAGATGCTCCAAAGTTGTCTCCTGAAGATGAAAATCCATCATGTCCATCACCAAAAGATGCTCCACAGTCATCTCCTGGAGTCGAAAATGCATGTATGGCCAAAATCACATTCTCTGACGATGATCTTCTGTTTTGTGACACATTTCATAATCGCCCTTTATTCATGGTTGGTTTTGCATGTGAGAAAAGGGTGAATAGAATCCTAGTTGATGGAGGATCTGGAATCAACATCCTTCCAATTCGCACAATGAAAGAACTTGGGATATCAACAGCAGATCTTACTGATAGTCGCTTGATGATCCAAGGATTCAATCAAGGAGGACAAAGGTCTATAGGGACCGTCAAAATAGACCTTACCATCAGAGAGTTACAATCAAGCGTGTGGTTACATGTAATTGATGCAAAGACTTCATATAACATTTTGCTTGGTAGGCCGTGGGTACATGAGAACAAAGTAATCCCATCTACATACCACCAATGTTTGAAGTATTATGAGGATGGAGTTGCAAAAAGGGTTATTGCAGATGATAATCCATTCACTGAAGTTGAAGCTCACTTTGCTGACGCAAAGTTTTACTTGAAGAAATATTCCATAAAAGTCGATGCCATTGCATCCGGAGATGTCGGACTCCCTAATAATATGGCTAAGGTAGCGGTCGGTAAGGCAAAAGTCACAAACAAGGAAGATTCAAAGCTTGGCAATCCAAACAAGATGCCTAATGTGATTGGTGCCTTTTCAAGTAAAAAGGTCACACCCATTCTTCGTTATGTCCCAAAGGCAAAGGAGGACAAGAACACTCTCTCGAATTGCGAGAAAATGCGCTGGAAGGGTTGACCCTTCCTATAAGGCGAATTGATACGGTGAAGTCATCCACAAAATTACTTGGGAAGTCTGTGGCTCCTAAGTCATTACTTCACAGAAAATTTGTGGTCCCTAAGTCACCCCTATATGAAGCACTCCCAATGAAGCGTACATAAGAAGGTTTTGATCCAAATGCTTACAGGCTGCTAGCAAAAGCTGGATTCGATCCAAACGAACTGTCAAAATTGGGGAAGCTTCCATCAGAACATGCTATGAGGCAACAACGTGAAGGGTTGGGCTACAAACAACCTCCACCTATCCGCATCTCCATAAAAAGGGTAAGCAACAACTACATAACTGTGGAAGATGAGTCTACTAATTCTAACAAAAGGCATTCTGTCTTTGACCGACTTGGAAGCTCAACAAAGAGGATTTCTGTATTGGAAAGGTTAGGGCCATTGAGGAAGAAAAACAAGGTTTGGAGAAATAGCAAGAGGCGGCAGACGAACATTGTGGTCTCGTGTGGAGAAGTACTAAAGGCAAAGTCGCATGTTGTGGTCTACACCAAGCAACGTGATGAAGATGAAGAAAGTGTTGGCTCTTCATATCATGTCACTACACAAGATGAAAGGCATATTTTTTTTTCCAATTAAAATTGATGGAGAGTTGGAGAATGTTTCATGGTGTTACCATATATCTTTCAACGATGGAGAACCTCAAGAAGATAAATATGCTAAAGATGCGCCACCCGAACTTGAAGAAGGAATAAAGGTGACAGTTGATGCATTGAAAGAAATCAACCTTGGAACTGATGAACATCCAAAACCCACTTATGTGAATGCTTCACTGGCGAGTGATGAAGAAAAGGCCTACGTTGACTTACTCAAAGAGTATAAAGATGTATTTGCCTGGAGTTACAAAGAAATGCCTGGATTAGACCCGAAGGTAGCAGTCCATCATCTTGCTGTGAAAAGCGGTGCACGTCCCATCAAGCAAGCGCAACGACGTTTTAGGCTTGAATTGGTTCCCGTGATCGAAACTGAAGTTAACAAGCTTATTGAGGCTGGCTTTATCCGTGAAGTTAAGTACCCCACATGGGTTTCAAGTATTGTCCCCGTGAGGAAGAAGAATGGGCAAATTCGAGTTTGCGTTGACTTTAGAGATCTCAATAATGCATGTCCCAAAGATGAATTTCCACTTCCTATCCCTGAGCTTATGATTGATGCCACTACTGGGTATGAGGCGATGTCTTTTATGGATGGTTCATCCGGCTACAATCAGATCCGCATGTCGCCAAAGGATGAAGAGTTGACCGCATTTCGCACTCCTAAGGGCATTTATTGCTACAAAGTAATGCCTTTCGGTTTGGAGAACGCATGAGCAACATACCAAAGAGCTATGCAAAACATCTTTGATAACATTCTTCACAAAAATGTTGAATGTTATGTTGATGATTTAGTAGTGAAATCAAGAAAAAAATGCGATCACTTGCAAGACTTGAGGATGGTGTTTGATCTACTACGAAGGTATCAACTTAGAATGAATCATTTGAAATGTGCGTTCGGAGTTACCTCTGGAAAATTCCTTGGTTTGATTGTACGACATCGAGGAATAGAAATTGATCAAGTAAAAGTAGATGCAATTTTGAAGATGGTAGAGCCAAGAAACATTCATGAATTGAAGAGTCTGCAAGGGAAGCTAGCATATCTTAGGAGATTCATGAAAGTGCCAACCATTCAGCCGCCTTATGAAAAAGGGCACTCTTTTCGAATGGGACCAAGCTTATAGTAATGCCTTTGAGAGCATCAAGTCTTACTTGACAAAACCACCAATTTTAGCAGCTCTTGTTCCTGCAAAGCCATTGATACTTTACATATCAGCTCAAGAAAGATCAGTGGGAGCACTCTTAGCCCAAGAGAATGGCAAAGGGAAAGAAAATTCCCTTTACTACTTAAGTAGGATGATGACACCAAATGAGTTGAAGTACTCGCCAATTGAAAACCTATGTTTGGCCTTAGTCTTCTCAATTCAGAAGATGAAACACTACTTTCAAGCTCACGTCGTCCGTCTTATTTCTAAAGCCAACCCCATTAAATTTGTGATGTCGAAACCTGTCCTCAATGATTGACTAGCAAGATGGTATCTCCAGTTTCAGCAATTTGAAATTGTGTATGTTCCTCAAAAGGCTGTAAAAGGGCAAGCATTGGCAGACTTCTTAGCAGACCACCCGATACCTGATGATTGGGAACTCATTGATGAATTACCTTATGAAGATGCAATGGTTGTTGAAGTTCAACCACCTTGGAAGATGTATTTTGATGGGGCCTCATATCGCGAAGGAGCTGGCGCTGGGGTAATATTTGTCACTTCTCGAGAGGAGATCTTGCCGTATTCCTTCACCTTATCGCAATGTTGCTCCAATAATGTTGCAGAATATCAAGCCTTAATACTTGGGCTTGAAATGGCGGTTGATATGAAGCAATTGCAATTACAAGTTTTTGGAGACTCTGAATTAGTGATCAATCAATTGTTGGGTAGGTATGAAGTCAAAAAGCCAAAAGTGCGTCTCTATCATGACTATGCACAAAAATCGATTAGATGACTCGGAGATGTAACTCTTCAACATGTTCCAAGAAAGGAGAATAAGAAAGTTGATGCTTTAGCCGCTTTGGCTTCAACTTTAACTCTGCCTGATCAAGCGCAAATCACTATCTGCCAAAAATGGATAGTACCACCAGATATGGATGAAGAAAGCAAATTTGAACATTTTGTAGCTGTCTTACAGGCTGAGATAGTCGATTGGAGACATGCTTTGATTGATTACTTGTGTTACAATATACTTCCAGAAGATCCAAAGAAAAGGACTGAAATTCGTCGTCGTGCTCCTAGGTTTCTTTACTACAAAGATACTCTATATCGTAGATCATTCGAGGGAGTCCTCTTGCGTTGTTTGGGGGAAGAAGAAGCGATTCAAGATATGCAAGAAGCACATTCTGGAGTTTGTGGATCACATCAATTTGGGCCCAAGTTACACTTTCATATAAAAAGAATGGGGTATTATTGGCCAACAATGGTAAAAGATTGCTTGGATTATGCTCGAAGATGTCAAGCATGCCAATTTCATGCAAACTTTATGCACCAACCTCCTGATGTATTACATCCGACTATTGTATCTTGGCCATTTGATGCTTGGGGGCTAGACGTAGTTGGACCACTACCTAAATCTTCTGGTTGTCACTTGTACATCTTGGCTGCAACAGATTACTTCTCAAAATGAGCTGAGGCCGAAGCCCTCAAAGAAGTAAAGAAGGAAAATGTTGCAAACTTCATCAGGGTGAACATCATCTATCGTTTTGGCATTCCTAGTTATATACTAACAGATAATGGAAAGTCATTCACCAATAAATTGATGGATAAGATCTGCGACCTTTTTGGCTTCAAGCAACATAATTCATCGATGTATTATGCTGCTGCAAATGGACTAGCTGAAGCATTTAACAAGACCTTGTGCAACTTGATAAAGAAGGTCGTCTCCAAATCTAAAAGGGATTGGCATGATAGAATGGAAAAAGCTCTTTGGGCATACCGGACGACTCATCGCACGCCGACTCAAGCAACTCCTTATTCTCTTGTTTTTGGAACTGAAGCAGTCCTTCCACTTGAACGACAAATACCATCATTGAGGCTTGCCATCCAAGAGGGACTTACTGAAGAAGAAAATTCTTGTCTACGCCTTGAAGAATTAGAATCTCTCGATGAGAAAAGGTTGGAAGCTCAACAAAGTCTTGAGTGCTATCAAGCTCGTCTTTCCCGTGCTTTCAATAAAAAGGTTCACCTAAGGTCTTTCCAAGTCGGTGATCAAGTCCTTGCGGTAAGAAGACCAATTATCATATCTCATAAATCGAAAAGCAAGTTCACATCAAAATGGGATGGACCATATGTCATTCAAGAAGTCTATTCAAGCGGAGCTTACAAAATTGTGGATGCAGACGGCTTGCGGATTGGTCCCATCAATGGAAAATTCTTGAAGAAGTACTATCCTTGAAGCGGCGTCATATTCCTGGCCCGCAAGAGTATAAACTGTGTATGGCTCCAAAAAAAAAAAAGAATAAAATGTCCGCTAGGTTGAAAATCTCGAAAGAGGCGGCCTAGGCAAAAGTTAGGACACAAAAAAAATAAAATAAAAATAAAATTCACTCTCTGAACTACGTAATGACTTGATCCTCTTCACTGAGGTAGGTAGACAGCTTAGAGTATTATTACTCTAGGTTCAGTCATAAGAATAAAAAAAATAAAAAAATAAAAACCATGTGAATATCATGCTAATTATTTCAAATGAAAATTCAAGTACCCAGATTTTGAGCTGAGTTTGAAGAAAAATCTGTATTAATTCGTAAATCCTATAGACGTGATTTTTATATGGATTGAAGCTCTCGAAGTCGTCTTTCCAACAAAAAAAGAAGCTCATTATTCCAGTGCTTCTACTCCACGTTATGAATTTTCTTCCTCATGTGCGCAAAGCTGAAGAAAGCTGAAAATTCAAGCACGCGGATTTCGAGCTGACTTTGAAGACAAATCTGTATTAATCCATAAATCCTATAGATGTAATTTTTATATAGATTGAAGATCTCGAAGTTGTCTTTCCAACAAAAAAGGAAGCTCATTATTCTGGCTCTCCTACTCCACGTTATGAATTTTGTTCCACATGTGCGCAAAGCTGAAAAAAGCTGAAAATTCAAGTACCCAGATTTTGAGCTGACTTTGAAGAAAATTCTGTATTAATCCATAAATCCTATAGACGTGATTTGTATATGGATTGAAGCTCTTGAATTTGTCTTTCCAACAAAAAAAAAGAAGCTCATTATTCCAGTGCTTCTACTCCACGTTATGAATTTTCTTCCTCATGTGCGCAAAGCTGAAGAAAGCTGAAAATTCAAGCACGCGGATTTTGAGCTGACTTTGGAGACAAATCTGTATTAATCTGTAAATCCTATGGACGTGATTTTTATATAGATTGAGGATCTCGAAGTTATCTTTCCAATAAAAAAAGAAGCTCATTATTCCAGTGCTCCTACCCCACGTTATGAATTTTCTACCTCATGTGCACAAAGCTGAAGAAAACTGAAAAGTTAACGTTTTTGTTGCTATCCTCATATAAACACTAGCTTATGGAGTCTTTTTTTAATAAGAAAAGGGGCTCGTGGAAAGAAACAATCAAAATTCAAGAGGAGAAAATTCTTATTGAAATATAAGTCAGTATTTTATTGCTTCAAAAAAAGAAACACTACACCATAATGAGCGAATTAGAAAATCCTAAGCAAATAAATAAAAAAATCTAACTATGGAAAAAGTTTGAAGCTTATGATTTCTTGGCGACTTTTCTCAACTGTCCCTTCTAGTTTGGGCTAGTTTCTCAACTTCATCGTTAGACATCACATTATTTGCCTCAATGGTATAAATCTCGCCCTCCGTGATGGTGACATTCTCTTGAATTTTGGACAGCTTCTCTTGATATTTGTTAATGAGCGCGGTGACCTTCTTTTTCTTGGAAGTCAAGGCTTTTAATTCTTTCTCCATTAGAGTTGCTTGAAGTTTATCCATGGATCCATCCAGTTTTTCATGTGTCAGCTTTGCACCATCGAGACGGCGTTGCGCATCAGAGAGGGCATTTTCATGTGATTCTTTAGTCATCTTTGATGATCTTAAAGTATCATACACTGCATACGACTTGAAGAAATTCTCGACAAGATCCTCCAAAGAAGAGATATCAAGTGTGGTTCGTCGTCGAAGCCGCAACTGCAAAAAAGAAGAAGGATATTTCATGTGTGATTCTTCATCAAAGCCACAACTCTAAAAGAAGATTCTCCGCGCCGTAATTGTAGAAGAAGATGTACTAAGTGTGGTTCATCGCTAAAGTCGTAATTGGAAAAGAAGAGACACCAAGTCTGGTTCATCATCAAAGTTGAAACTACAAAAGAAGAGATATCAAGTGTGGTTCGTCGTCAAAGCCGCAACTGCAAAAGAAGAGGCACCAAGTGTGGTTCGTCATCAAAGCTGAAACTACAAAAGAAGAGAAATCAAGTGTGGTTCGTCATCGAAGCCTCTGCAAAAAAAAAAAAAAAAGATATTTCATATGTGGTTCTTCATCAAGGCCACAACTCTAAAAGAAGATGCTCCACGCTGCAATTGTAGAAGAAGATGTACTAAAAGTGGTTCATCGCTAAAGCCGCAATTGCAAAAGAAGAGGCACTAAGTGTGGTTCATCATCAAAGTAGAAAGTACAAAAGTAGATGCATCGTGTGTGGCCACAAATGTAAATTTAAATGCACCAAGTGTGGTTCGTTGTCAAAGCCGCAGTTACAAAAGAAGATGCACGAAGTGTGGTTCATCTCCACCAAAGCCACAATCTCTAAAATATTACACCAAGTATGATTCGTCGTCAAAATCACACCTACAAACAAAGATGCATCAAGTGGTTCCTTGTCAATTATGGATTACCCCTCATTTTTTTATGGTATGATATTCAGGCTATTTTTGATCCATTGTAAACCTACAAAAAAAAAGGAAAAGTGATGTGTCTCATGGTGCAAATTGCACGAAGCTTCAAATCGGCATGAGGAAAATTGTGGCATATGCTCTCGCGATCGTCATGATGAATGTGGTCATATATATTGACTTAAGAGATTTTTGTTCTTTCTCCATGTAGATGAGGACAAAATTCTCAATCAATACGGAAATCAATATGCGGCTCTTCGGCAAAGATGCAGAGAAGTAAACTCATGAAGACTTAAGAGTCTATTTTCTATAGAATCAAGTCGCTCTCCATTCGAGCTCTCCTACGCAAAAATACAAACGTTTTGGTGGGACTCCACAAATCTGCAAAACAATAATGACAGAATTGAAGACCAATTTCAAAAATTAATTCTCGTCAATCCATGAAGAGTTTTACCTTGATTGTTGGATATGTCATAGAATTTTATGTCTAGTTTCTACAGAATCAAGTCGTTTGTCATTTAGAATCTTCTGCACCAAGATAGAGACGCTTTGGCAAGACTGCATAGAGCTATAAAAAAGAAAGACAGATTTGATAGCAAACTTCAAAAAATTAATTCCCATCAATTCAGAAGGGTTTTGATTTTGAATTTCGGATATGTCGTAGTTTTCTGAGTCTAGTTTCTGAAACATCAGACGAATCATGATTTCAACGTTTTTACAACAGGTTATGAATTTTCTAGCGCTGATCTGTTGTACTGAAAAATAGTGACGAAAATTGAGTTTGATATGCGTCAAGTTGACAATCAACCATTGTTAGAGCATGTGTATTTATAGAAATCAAAAGTACATAAATTGTGTTCCTACAAATTATGGAAAAACCATATTTGAAACAAAATTATGGTAATTTTTCCTAGGAACCAAATTATGGTAAGTTTCCATGGGAATCAAATTATGGAAATTCCATAGAAACCAAATTATGGCAAGTTTTCATAAGAATCAAATTATGAAAATTTTCCAAAGAAGTCGAGTTATGGAAATCTCATATAAACCAAATTATGGTAAGGTTTTCTCAGAAACTACATGGGGAGTAAAAAAAAAACCCCGAATGAGAATAGACTTGCGCAATGAGAATTTGAATTCCTTGCGTTTTATTCAAGTAATTTAGAAAAAAAAACTGGCTGGGCATTCAACCCCAAAGAAAGCAGCGCCTAAATTTTTTGTCGAAATCACAAGCTCTGTATCACCAAGTCAAGCTTGTAGACGCAATCCTTGCTCATCAAATTGGCGGTCGTTTTGTAGTTGATGACCCAAATAAAAGTACCAAACTATGAAGAAATGTCATGCGATAAGTCTTCATGAGCTCAAAACACTTCAAGTCGAAAATGAGTTGACAAATTAGAGAATGTTGTCATGAAGACTCTGGTAAATGTTGACATCAACATATCGGCATAGTCATTTCTCATGAAGCTTCAAATGTTTCTTGAAAGATCAACTACGAAAAAAAAAGAACATTTGCTTCACAAATACTTCAAGGCTTGTCTTTACAAGTTCGATAAATTGAGCATCCCAACAAGCCTCGAAGCAGGGGACATTTGTAGACAGTGAAATTTTATTGATAAATTCATACTAAATTTGGATTAAATCTTAAATTCATGATACGCTGACCAAGTCAAATTACTGGTTAATAAAGTCGGATTAATATTTATGTCAGAATTATATGACTTAAATCAAGTCCAAATAACATTTGGGTCAGTCCATTAAATTGACAAGATGAGCCCAACT